GAGGGGGAGGGGAGGGACCAGCAATACTGCCTCGTCTAAGTATGGAGTCCCTGGGTGATGCAGATGGTGAAGAGCTGCGTTATTAATAGAAAGGCTGGCTGTTCAAACCCACCCAGAGGCACGTCAGAAAGACATGTCTGGCCTTGAAAACCGTGTGGGGCAGTTCTGCTCCGCACACGTGAGGTCGCGATGAGTAGGGCTCCACTGCAGGGTAACAGGAAGTCCGGTAAAACAAAAGAACAAGGCCTTTCAGGGCATAGTGAGTTATTGTTAACTTCCTTCCATTCCCCTGCACTGGTTTTGGGTGTTTCCACAACCTACTGTCAATCTATTTACAAAAATGGGTTATAAAAATAAAGGATAATTTTGTGGCGCAGTCATTAAGAGCTCAGCTGCTAACCAAACATCCGTGGCAGTTCGAATCCGCCAGCTGCTCCTTGGAAACCCAATGGGGCAGTTCTAGTCTGTCCTATAGGGACGCTAGGAGTCGGAATGGGCTCCACGGCAACGGGATTTTTTTTCTTCTTTTTTTTTGTGTGTCCTACATACTTAGCACATCTTACAGCGTGTAATTTTAACCACAGCTCTGTGAGGTAAAGGACATCCCCACTCCACACATGAGGTCACAGGTACAGAAGGTTAAACTGCCCGGAATAAAGCTGGCATTTTTAAGCAACTTTGTCGAGGTATAACTTACCTCCAAATTCACTCGCTGCCAAGTGTACAATTCAGCAATGTTTTAGTAAACAGCCTCGTGCAACGAGCAGCCGTCACCCAGCAGCACCCTCGTGGCCGTGAGCTCCCTCTTCCCAGCCTCAGCCCCCCACCCACCCACCGGGACCCGCGGTGCCCGGCTCGGGCTGGGCTTTCGGACTGGGTTTCCGAGCTGGGTCCTGTCCCCACCCCGCCTACGCCGCGGACCTGGGGCGGGGCGGGGCGGCCGCCGGGCCCCTCCTGCAGCCGGGAACACGAAAGCGAAAGCCCGCCCGGCCGCGCCATGGCCGCGCGGAGCCTGGCCCGGGACCTGCAGGACGAGGCCACCTGCCCCATCTGCCTCGACCTCTTCTCCGAGCCCGTGTCCCTCGGCTGCGGCCACAACTTCTGCCGCGCCTGCGTCGACCTCAGCCGGGGCGTCGGGGACGCGCCCTTCCCGTGCCCCGAATGTCGCGAGCCCTGCGCGCCCCGCAGCCTGCGGCCCAATCGGCCGCTCGGGAGGGTGGCCGCCGCGCTCGGGCGCCTCGGGCCGGCGCAGGGTCGCGGGGGACCGTGCGACCTGTGCGCTGAGCACCTGGAACCGCTGAAGCTCTTCTGCAAGAACGACCAGAGACCCATCTGCGTGGTGTGCGACCGCGCCCGGGAGCACAGAGCTCACAGCGTGGCGCCCCTGGAGGAGGCGGCGCAGACCTACCGGGTGAGCCCAGCGGGACCCCTCGGCGCCCGGCCCCCCGCCACGCCCGGGGTCCCTCCGCGTCGGGACCCGTCCCACGCCCCGCAGGGTCCCTCCGAGCCCTGCCTGCCCGTGACCTTCGGCGCCGGGACCCTCGGCACCCGGATCCTCGGCACCTGCCTGCTCCCTGCCCCGGCCCCTCTGCCCCCAGCCCCAGTGCCTTCCCCCGGAGGGCCCCTCCGCCGCCCGACCCCTCCCTGCCCCGCCCCCCCCCCCCTGCCTGGGACCTTACTCTCTTGACCCCCCCCCCCCCCCCCCGCCCCCGCCTCCGCCCAAGCCGGGCTCTGTCCCTCTCCCACCACCTCTGGACTTCTAGCCAGGACCTGACTCTGCCCTTTCCCGCTGGCCTCTGTTCAATACCCCTCATTTTCACCCCTCTCCGCCCTAACCCTCATCCCGACCCACCTGACTCCCCTTGCTCCTGCCGAGCTCAGACTTTGTATACCCGTACGTGCACAAGTACACGCAGACACCCCCACACTCCGCCCCACACCCTTTATACCCTTCTCACATACGCCCACCCCGGCCCTGCCTCCCTCCTAACTGCACAGGCCCAGCAGCCTGGTCCAGGTTCCCTCTAACGGGGGCTGTAAGCTCGCTGGCGCTGGAGGGAAGGCGGAGTGCCAGGTCTATCATGATTATGCGGACACTGATACGTGCTTCTCCGATCAACAGTAGCGCATTCACTTACCTAGCATCAGCTCCTTGCCAGGCACTGTTCTGACATCTTTACGTGTGTTAATGCAGCCAATCCTCGTAACAGTAGGAATTAATATCATTTCCTATTTATAGATGGGGAAACTGAGGTACAGAAAGCTTCCGTGCCTCCTGTCACACAGCTGGGATTCAAACCTAGGCAGCCTGCCTCTAAAAGAATTGCACCGTTATATACATTTTTCCAGCTGACTGGGGGCTCTTTTCATTTAGAAAATTATTAAACCCACAGCAAAGTTGAAAGAACGTTGTACATTTAACACCGGCAAGCCCTTCGCATTTTGCCATATATTCATTCTCATTCTGTCTCACTCTCCTTATGCTTAGATTTAGGTTAAACATTCTGTCAATAATCCTACAAAGGTGATGTTGTATATACTCCATATAGCATCAAGTCCAAAGGCCCATGATGCCAGGTTGATGCTGTTTGACTGCTTCGTTAAGGTGGCGTCTGCTTCAGCTCTCCATTGTACAGTACGTTTTCCCCTTTGTAACGAGCAAGCCATCTGTAGGATGATGTTTTGAGACAGTGTAACTATATCCCATTCCCTAACACCTTGTCACCCGATGGTCTTAACAGGCATGGTGACTGAATTGACTGTGATTACTGTGGTGTTGGAAAATCTAGTTTCATTTCTTCAACATTTATTAGCAAGCATTCTTCTGTAAAGAGAAGCTTTCCCTTCCCATCACACCCGGTTTTTATTTGATTATTAGGATGGAGTCATGGATTTTTATATTAGTTTAATGTGCTTTAATCTATTATATCACTCTTTTTGATGCTCAAATTGTCATAAGTTTGACCAAGGGGAATTCCTTCCAAGGCAATACCTGTGTCTCTGATGTGGTTTCGGCCCACACCTAGAATCTGCCATTTCATCTATTAGTGGGGAATGGTGTTTAGAAACCAAGATCTGGATGATAGGTGTGCTCATTGCTACTAGGGTTACGCACTCAGCTGCTAACTGAAAGGTTAGTAGTTCGAACTCACACCGTGGGAGAACAGACCTGATGATCTGCTGCTGTAAAGATTACAGCCTAAGAAACCCTATGGGGCAGTGCTCTTCTGTCATATAGGGTCTCTATGAGTCAGAATCAACTCGACGGCACACAACAACGGCAGCACATGACAACAGGCCCTTTTGATTTGCAGAATTAGGAGATACATGTATGAAGTTCTGAAATCATGAGTTTATACTTCAACCTTCAATCCAAATCCCATTCTGCACGAGTCTTCCTTACCTTTCCTCAGAGTTCGGCGTCTTCTCCAAAGGAAGCTATGCCTTCATTAGTATCTCTGAGCCCTAGCACTCAGTAAATGCTTGTTGGATGAACGGATGAGAATAACTGTGGTTGTCTTCTTTTTCCTTTGCTCTGATCCTACGTGAAATACCTACTTAAGGAAGCATAACCTCTCTGGTGTCTCCTGCAGGAATCGTTTCCAAAGATCCTGGAAGAATTGAGGAAAGAGATGAAAAAGGCTCAGAAGCTGCAGGCTGAAGGAGTGAAAACCTCAGAAGCTTGGCAGGCAAGTAACTGGGCTAGCCTGGGAAGCACGCTCACTTAAGGGACTCGTCCTCCACCTGGTACCTGGAAGCTCAGGAGGATCAGTTGGGGTAGCAGTGCCAACTAGCCAGAAAGCCCACTCAGGGTCAGCCACCTTGGTGGGCTGTTGGAAATGTGACAGTAGATTTAAGACACTGGCAGCAAAGCTGTGGGTTAGGTTACTCATATACTTTCAGCTTTCACAGGAAAGCCACTATCTGGGAGGACTTCCTGAGAAAGGAAAAAGAATGAAGCATTTGAGGGAAAAATTACATCTGAAAAATGTCTGTCTTATATTTAGGGTTAGATTGCATATTCTAGGCCAGTGGCTTTGGAACATTTTTGGCTAACATTCACTGTAACCAAAAACTTCTAACACCTCACCCTAAAACACACACAACAAAGAAACCCATTGGCATTGAGTCAATTCCGACTTATATGAAAATATGTATGTAGTTGGAGGGAAAAAGATTTTATTAAACAATCTTACTTATATGCAGTACACACTATTTCCTGTTCTATTCTACTCTAGTCAGTTTCGTTAAAAATAAGCACACCTGATTTCTACCCACTGGATTGATTTCTTGACAACTTAATGGGTTGTGACCTGCAGTTGGAAAATCACCAAGATATTGTCAAAGTCTGTTGTTGTTGTTATTGTGTGCCGTCGAGTCTACTCATAACGACCCTGGGACAGAGTAGAACTGGCCCAGAGGGTTTCGTAGGCTGAAATCTTTACAGGGGCAGCTGGCCACGTCTTTTCTCCTGAGAGAGGCTGGTGGGTTCAAACCCCCAAACTTTTGGTTAGCAGCCGAGCGCTTAACCATCGTATTCAGGACACCTTTGTCAGAAGTCTAGCTCCCAAATATTTCCTTTATCTCTTGCTGAGAGCTTAAAATTTCTGGGCTTCATTCATTTACTTTTGTAACAACTTTACTGTGGTATAATTCACATACCATACGATTCTCCTGTTTTAGGTGTACAATTCAGTGACTTTTAGTAAATTCACCATCACTGCAATTCAATTTTAGAGCACTTCCATTGTCTCAGAAAGATCCGTCAGCCTATTTGCAGTCACTGTCCATCCCTTCTTACCCTAAACTTAGCCCCAGGCAACCACTAATCTATTCCTTATCTTGATAGAGCTGTCTTTTCTGGACATTTCATGTAAATGGAATCATATAATATATGATCTTTCTCATCTGGCTTCTATCACTGGGAGCCCTGGTGGTGCAGTGGTTAAGTGTTCAGCTGCTAACCAAAAGGTCGGCAGTTCAGATCTACCAGCTGCTGCTTGGAAACCCTATGAGGCAGTTCTACTCTGTACTATAGGGTTGCTGTGAGTCGGAATCGGCTCGACGGCAATGGGTTCTGTCACTGAGCATAATGTTTTTGAGGTTCATCCATGTTGTAGCTTGTATCAGTGGTTGATTCCTTTTATCCCTGAACTGTATTCCATTGCATGGATGTATGATCGCATTTGTTAATCCAATTCATTGGTTGATAGACCTTTGAATCATTTCTACTTTTTAACTGCTGTGAATAATGCTGCTGTAAACATTTGTGTATGAGTTTTTGTGTGGACGTATATTTTCATTTCTTTTGGGCATATGCGTAGGAGTAGAATTTCTGGGTTGAGTGGTAAATGCAGGAGTCCCCTGAGTGGCTCAAAAGGTTAACTGCTTGACTTCTAGCCGAGAGGTTCGAACCCACCCAGAGGCACCTTGGAAGACAGGCCTGGTGATCTATTTCTGAAAGGTCACAGCCCTGAAAACTGTAGAGCAGTTCTACTCTGCATGCGTGAGGTTGCCATGTTTGGAACCAACTCAGCAGCCAGTAACAACAACAACAGCATGGTAAATTTATGTAGAACTTTTTAAGAAATAACTGAACTGTTTTCCAAAGTGGCTGCACTATTTCTCACCAGTTGTGTATGAGGGTGTCAGTTTCTCCGCATCCTTAACGACACGTATTGTCTTTCTTTTTGATGATAGCTATCCTTGTGGATGTGCAGTGGTTTGTCCCTAAGGCTTTAATTCGCATTTCCCTAATGACTGATGATGTTGAGCATCTCTTCCTGTGCTTGGTGAAATGTTGGTTCACATCTTTTGCCGATTTTTTAATTGGTTATCTGTCTTCTTGAGTTGTAAGAGTTCTTAGTATATCCTGAATACAAGTCTTTTACCAGATATATGATTTGCAAATATTTTCATTTTCTTAAAGGTCTTTTGAAGCGCAATAAAAGAAAGTTTTTGATTTTGATGAAGTCCAGTTTATACTTTTTTCTTTTCTCTGATGTATTGTGCTTTTGGTGTTGTATGGAAGAAATATTTACCTAACCTAAGATCAAAAATATTTTTAGTATGTTTTCATCTAAAACTTAAGCCAGTTAGGAAGCCCACTCAGGGCGAGTCACCTAGGAAGGCTGTTGGAAATCTGGCAGTGGGTTTCAGTTTTATCTCTTGCATTTAGGTGTATGGTATCTTTTTAGGTATTTTTGTGACTGGTATGAGGTAATGGTCAAAATTCATCTTTTTTGCATGTATATAACCAATTTTCCCACCACCATTTGATGAAAAACTATTCTTTCTCTATTGAATTACCTTGGCACATTTGTTGAAAATCAGTTAACTCAGTTCAGTTCCATTGACCTATATGTCCATACACCACTACCACACTGTCGTAATTACTATATTTTGTAATAAGTTCTGAATCATGACCCGTAAGTCCTTCAATTTTGTACTTTCTCAAGATTATTTTGATCATTCTGAGTCCTTTGCATTTCCATGTTTATTTTATGATCTAATTTTTACAAAAGGGCCTGCTGGAATTTTGATAGAGATTGCATTGAATCTACAGATTAATTTTAGGAAGTTTACCATCTTTACAATATTGAATTTTCTAATCCATGAACATGGTGTATCTCTCCATTTCTTTGGTTCTTTCATTTCACATAGCAATGTTTTGTAGATTTCAGTGTACAAGATTTGCATTTGTTAAATTTATTCTTTAGAATTTAGCTGTTTTTGGTACTATTGTGAATAGAATTTCTTTCTTAATCAGTGTTGGATTGTTCATTGCTAGTATGTGGACATATAATTAATTTTTTTTAGTGATTGCTTTTTTATTTTTAAAAAATGGACTTTATGTTTTAGAGCAGTTTTAGGTTTATGGAAAAATTGTTCAGAAAGTACAGAATTCCAAATAGCGCCCCCCCAGTTTTTCTGTTATTAACATCTTGCGTTCCAGTGGTACATTTGTTACAATTAATGAACCAACATGGACATATCATTATTTTCTAAGGTCTATAGTTTACATTAAGGTTCTCTCTTAGTGTTCTACAGTTCTGTGCATTTTGACAAATGCAGAATGTCATGTGTTCACCATTATGGTATCATACAGAGTAAGTCACTGCTCTGAAAATCCCCTGTGCTCCACCTACTGTCCCCCTGTCCCCCGCTCCAGCCCCTGGCAACCACTGATCTTTTTATTGTCTCTGTAGTTTTGCCTTTTCCAGAATGCCATATAGTTGTAACTGTACAGTATGTAGCCTTTTCAGCCTGGCTTGTTTCATTTAACAACATACGTTGAAGATTCCTTGATGTCTGTTTGTGTCTCGTTTCTTTGTATCACTGAATAATATTCCATTGTATGGATGTACCACAGTTTGTTTATCCATTCACCTATTGAAGAACATCCTGGTTGCTTCCAATGTTTGGCAGTTATGAATAAAGCTGTTATAAACATTTGTGTGCATGTTTATGTGTGAGCATAAGTTTTCAACTCATTTGGATAAATACGTAAGGAGTGTGATTACTGGATTGTATGTATGGTAAGTCTATGTTTAGCTTTGTAGGACATTGCCAGACTGTCTTTTAAAGAGTCTGTACCATTTTATACTCCCACTAGCAATGGATGAGAGTTCCTGTTGCTCCACATCCTCATCAACATTTGGTTTGTGTTTTGGATTTTAGTTGTTCTAATAGGTGCATAGTGGTATCTCGTTGTTTTAACTTGCAATTTCTTAATGATGTATGATGTTGAACATCTTTTCATAAGCCTGTTTTCCATTTGTATATCTTCTTTGGTAAGATGTCTGTTTAGCTCTTTTATCCATTTTTTAATTGGGTTATTTGTTATGGTTGAATTTTAAGAGTGCTTTGTGTATTTTGTATACAAGTCCTTTAACAGATAAAGTGTTTTGCAAATATTTTTTTCCGTACTGTGGCTTGCCTTGTTATTCTCTCTTTTTTTTCATCTTTCCCAAAGCATAAGTTCTGACTTATTTATTTTTTTATTGTGATGAAAATATACACACTAAGTAGTGGTTTAAACCTCGGCTGCTAACCGAAAGGTCGGCAGTTCAAATCCATCAGCTGCTCCTTGGAAAGCCTATAGGGCAGTTCTACTCTGTCCTATGGGGCCACTATGAGTTGAAATCGACTGACAGCAATGGGTTTGTTTTTTGTTTTAAGCTACTCGCCAGCATAACAATGTCTGCATTTACAATTCGGTGACATTGATTCCCTTTTTCATGTTGTACAACCACTATCACTATCCTTTTCCAAAATATCCCACCACCATTAACATAAACTTAATGCTACCCAAATACAAAACTCTCCTTTTCTCCCTCGCTTCCACTCCTGGTAACCATTAATAATCTTTGGTATCTATATATTTTCTTATTTCATGTAAGTGAGATCATATAGTGTTTGTCCTTTTGCAACTGAGTTATTTCGCTCAGCATGTTTTCAAGGCTCATACATGTTGTGGCATTCATTTCTCCTTATGCCTGCACAGTATTCTGTGGTGTGTATATACCACACTGTGTGTATTCCTTCATCCGTTGACGGACATTTTGGTTGTTTCCACCTTTTAGCTATTGTGAAAAGTGCTGGCATGAACATTAGTGTATAGGTTTCTGTTTGTGTTTCTGCCTTTACTTCTGGATATATACCTAGGATTGGGATTGAGTTTTTAATC